AAAGATTTCTGATGGCCAGAAATTGCTTAGCATCACTTCTCGACAACAGGCCTGCAGATGGTACCTGTATTGCAGAGGTTGGAGTACTGATGCAGTTAATGGTGTCATAAAAGGATTGAACCTTAATCAGTAAGCAAGATGATCCTTTCTTCTATATTACTTGTCAAAAAGCTAAACCCCTTGTCCGAATTGGCTTTATTGGAGGTATATCATCACCATGGTGGATGAGACAAAAGAACCATTTCCAAAAAGTTCACTGACAACTGATGAGGATCAGATGCAACCAAACTTCTAGCAACTCAGAGGATAGGCTCCATTGGCCAGTTTCCTCTTCAGTACAGACTGAGCCTTATGAGCTGAAAATACAAGTGTCCAGGGATCCTCAAGCATCCACCTGTGTTCAGCCCTGTAGAGTCTGAGTCAGTAACCATGATGGCTATGCTGATTACAGATTTTTGTTTTCATTTTGTTTGGATGTGACAAAGCTTTGTTTCTTGGCCAAATCAATGATTTCAGTCAAACGAATGTAGTTAGTCTTTTTTTACTTTCTTCTTGCAGATGATAGATGAAGTAGTGTGGAACGGATCAAGGATGGAGGTCCTTGTTAACACAGGGTCATGCTTTTGCTTCTGCCTACCTCCTTCCCTGAGCATAGATAAGCATAAATAAGCAGACTCAAGGAATATGACACCCAAACAAGCTTCATGACAACCTCTTTGTTAATGCTGTGTTACACTGAGAACTGGCACCCACCTACCAATGGTTTTAGTTCTCTGGGGAAGATCTAGCCCACATGGCTCTCAAAGCCCCTGAGATTCACTTACTTTATGTCTTGCTAATTAATTTATTAAAGTGAAGCAGTGACAATCCCTAAGTTAAAGGAGTATTACTTGCACTGCTAGACTGCCAAACTAAGCTAAAGCCAAAGTACAATTGGATTAAACTAATTTTAATTTATCTGTTCAGGGATGTATAACAGTTTAGCTACACAAATTCAAAACTGATTTCAACAGTGAACATTTCATGGAGAAAAGCTTTTAAATTCTTATTAACTTCTCTGACTGAAAATTGTTTTAAAGATCAAAGAAATTTAGTTTATTGTGTTTGTTGTTGACAAAGGTCCTGATCAACTCGTTCTCATTATATGCTGTTTCTACTTAGCTACAATTTCCACTGTCATGAAATCTGATGTCACAGGTGTTGTGATCAGATAAGCTCATGACTACATACAGATAAGGCAGGTCATGGCTCATTTTAGGTGAGCCCTACCCTTCACCAACTCTGTGGACCCTGGGAGTGAAGCTAACTGCAGAAATTCTGCCCAAGTTTTATAAACCTGTGAGTCTATTGTATTAATTTACCACATCCCAGTGTCGATATCTAAAGTAAGCCAGGTGAATTATGCTCCCCTTCTCTCCATAGACCATGACCATAGTCATATGAAGATCACCTTTGGTGTCAAAATGCATCTGCTGTGGTTCACTGCTAGACTATACAACACTGAATTCCTGTTCTGAACCACACCCTCCTCTTCTCCTTTTCTTTTCCCCTGGTGTGAGGTCACTTTGCAGTGATCTTTCATCCCAGCTGATCTCTTACTGTCTGGCTTTTGAAATTAATATCCTCAGCAAATCATTCAGCTCCTGCAGAGCACATACAACACAATCAGTATAATTACTTCACGTCACACCTCACTTGTCACTTCACTTTAATGCACTGCAAGTAAGATGAACTTGAAAAGTGCTCTACGTTAATGTTCTCAGAGTTTCTATTTTAGACTCTTATAAAAGATGTTAAATATATTCAGAAAAAGAGATTTCATCCTAGAAATTATTATCCATATTATAGAACAGCGAGCAGGGCCAAGAGAGTTCAGAGCTCTGTAATTAAGGCACTGTTAAAAACCATTCAACATCGCGATGAGAACTGTTGGACAGGAACGATGGGACTCATCTAAAAAGAGTAGGAGTTTGTGATGTAGAAATTTACATACCAAGTGGTTACTCTGGCTATGAAATAGCATCTGGTTATTATGGACCATAGAGTTTAGCACACAAGTCATCCTACCTTGAAGTGGAGACTGTAGTTGGCAAGACAAATCAGGCTGTTCCCTCTACTTCCTCACTCAGCTTTATAGCAAAGTGAGGTGCCCAAAGACAGTCAGTCAGCCCAAAGACAGTGTCACAGCTGCTAGATCTGCCTCCTGCAGCTGCCATCTGGAACTTCAATGTTTGGCTCTTTGAAAGGAAGTTATTCTACTTTAGCATTTGATGAACAACAGCATGTTTAACTTTGAAGTACCTTAATCTCCCATTATAGGTCATTACCCATGTCACTTAATAATGATCCCTCATCCTTCCTTCATCACGTTTCTCTGTGATATGTTGAGCATAAACGTATCCAAAAGATATTAAATCTGGTCTCTTTTATTTCTGTTCCAATACCTCAGAGAATATTTTTGTCTTCTTTGCAATCAGCTCTGAACCCTTTCCTGACAACTCTGGATTTTGGAAGACTAGAATTGATTCATTTAAAATCCGGCTAGGATGAGACTCCTTTGTTCCTCTTTTATATCATAACCCAGTTTTAGGATGTTTACCAAGGCATCATACTTCCAGCCCAACTCCCTCTCCTGCAGTTGATTCACATTTGCAATTTCTGCCTTTCTGGAACTTTAGGCACCCAGCTGCTGACCATTTCAGGTAGGAGTTGATGACAGTCCTCAGGCAGAGGCTGGAGACTGAGCCCTGTTAGATGGCAGAGAAAGCACAGGGCTGCCTCCCTGGCAAACAGCAAATTCTGTGTAATGTATATTTATTTGTTCATGGTGAAGCTCACATTGAGGGGCTATTACTGAGTGTTTTTTCTTCTGTAAAACTCCATATACAGAAAAAGAGCAATTTTCTTTCTTACAAAGAAGATTAAAAGCTGAACAAAAGAACTAATGCCCTTGCAGGTTTAGAGTTACAGAAGCAGCATTGCTTTTACAATTCAGTCCAATTATTTCTGCCCCTAAAGTCTCCCAAAATGCCTAATAAAGTAATTTAGAAGATGAAAGTTTTTCCATTTCTAATACTTATATCTTTTTCCCAGCACGCCCAGTATTTCTTCCTCCAATAACAGCAGCAGGATGTGACCTTCTGGACTAATTCAGCTTTCATTCTCTGTGCTGCAGAAAATAGGCAACAGCTTAAATACAATCCTTGCTGGGCTTTCTCTTTCTTCACTTACATGATAAAAGAGTTTCATCTGCATTTATATACTTAAGAGCTAAGGCTTTCATTAGGGCATCTCCATTTACCAGATGGTTCCATCTATCAGTCCCCACAGTCTGTGAGACTCTACCACTCCCACCTGCAATGAATTGACTCTGTCCACAGAGTGAGGATGGTACAGATTCACGCAGTATGCAAGAGTATACAAGCTAAAACTTGTATATGAATCTCAAATCCCAGGCACATTCAGACACTAGATCAAGGGTCCCTGAGGAGAAAGCTCTCTTCTCTCTCTTTTTAAAATGCTGATAGTCTTCTTCAGCTCATACGTGCATTTTTGCAATTGAGGGCTGTGGTATGGCCACGACCCTAAGTATGCTAGCCCACTGCCATGACTTTCATCGTGTGGACTGGGTGTTAACCATTCTCTTAACCTGAATTAACCAAATGAATGTGTCTTTATGTTGCAACATCTTCATGTGACACTTTTTACCTGACAGCATTTTGAGGGCGGAGGAAAACCGAGCCTGGTTTTGGCCAATCTTGCTACAAAAATTCAGGCTTAAGTCATTTTAACACCAATGATCATGTGTTTCCCATAGCAGGACTGCTATCTTCATCCAATATGGTTGGATGGTTTCTGCTCGCTGTGATTTAGAAGCAAACTGTCTGGCCATCTGACTTCAGGGCACAGCACTTCCTTCCTGCTCTCCCCTTGCTCGTCAGCTTTTTGCTGACTGCTCCCTGTCTGAGCAGAGGATGAGGAAGATGCAATGGCTTGTCTAGGGCAGTGCTCACTTATTCTGTATCTGGACCAAGCAGCCCTCATCACCAGCCAGTGCTGCTCTTTTGGCAAGTAATGGCCAATCAGCTAAATATTTGAGATGGTTAAGATCATTTTAATTTTTTATTTCTTTACACCACAGAAAGTACACTTCTGCTTTAGAAATACTTTGGTTTATGCGGACATATTTGCATCCATATCACTCAAATATGCAATTCCAGCAAAGCTCTTTGTTTTTGTTCATCCATGAAAGACTGACACACTACAGGAAGGAGGGGGTGACAACCACCTAGACCTTCACCTTTGAGCAGAAGCCTTTTGGTGGTCTGTGATGTCAAATAAAACCTTTCAGTTCTAACCCTCTCTTCTGGCTGTAATAAAATTTGGCAATTACAGTTCAGTCCCTAGAGGGCCCTAAAGGATAATAGTCCACATCACAAAACAGCTGTATATATCTATTTGCCTTGAGTTGATGAGACAGCCAGCTTCTATTTGGAAAAATCACAGTAAGTAGCACAGAAACTATATGGCCTTATTATGCCTTGAAGGGAAAATAACTGCAGTGAAGGAAAAGACTTTCTTCTGAAATTCATACATTCAAAATTCACTCGCTACAGATATCTGTGTATGTACTCTATAAGCAAAACCTTGAGGTCTACAAGATACGTGTCTACTAGGTGCGTATTTGTGATCTGTACTTTCTATGAAAATCTTTTACATGATTGGTTTCAACATTTCCAGTTAATCACATTTCAAAGTGTTCAGTTGCTTTTAGGGTATTGTTCCAAATTGATAGCTAATTTTATAGAAAAATTGTAATTTTTTTTTCTTGTTTGATTTTTTCTTCATTTGCTAAAAAAAATAAGTAAAAAAAAATAAAAAAAAATCCAGGCATTAGAAGTAACAAAAGAAAATGGTTAATTGCACTGCCATACAGGAACAGAAAAGACTGAAGTTATTATTAAGACTCAGGAATTCAAAAAGGAAAAATAAAATCACAATTATGTCTAATAAGTCTTTATTTCCAAACAGAAACTGCAAAAATATTCTATTACAGAGCAAGTAACAAGTGCAGAATTCCAAGTGTGCATTATACCAGTGAAACCATTGCCTCCTTGACAAAAAAAAATCATTAGGCACTTAAAACATGAAAACAAAGCATAACAAAAAACAGCTAACAGATATCTCAACGATACAACTTTATCTTGGTTTTCTGTAATAAAAGCACACACACGTTTGAGGGGCTTTCTATGCCTCCTCCTAAATCCTGCTTAGAGACACTTCTACATTAGGCTGCATGCACACTACTCATGTGCAAACAGACAATATCAAGTTCACATCTAAAAACATTAATAAATTCAGCACTGAGAATTTTAGAGACAGCAGCTTTTTGGAAACAGCAGCTGCAGAGCCTGTGCTAGCAGCTCCACACAGTTTGGTGCTTGAGGAACACAACGATACCAGCTCCAAGCTGGATAAGCTCTGCTTGGACAATGGCATTTAAGAGATCGGAACAGAAATGAATGCAAACAGTGCAACTCTGAGAGACAGTGAAACCTCTGGGAAGGAAAAAAAGAAAAGAAAAGAAAAAGCAGCTACTGTGAAAATTACATTTTGATACACCCCTGAAAAAGAAGAAAACATGCACTTTGCATCCCTTAGCAGTAGTTCCATGTAAAACCTCACCATTTACCAGTCTCCTTGCTTGTATTTCTTGAGCTAAACCAGCAAAGGTAGTGTGTTAGCCCTGCTTTAGAAAGGTAAATCTACGAAAACCTGTAGAAAACAAAAGACTAATGGAAATACCCTCCTAGAAATCAGTCACATACCCTTACAAATGACTTCAGTTGCATTATTGTTATTTTAGGGGTGCATTAGGAAAAGCCAAGAAGTTGAGGGAGGTGATCTTCCCTCTCTGCTCAGCGCCGGAGGAGGGACACCTGGAGTGCTGTGTCCAGTGCTGGGCCTCCAGTACTGGAGCTACAGGAGAGAGTCCAGCAGAGAGCTACAAGGATGAGTAGGAGACTGGAGCACGAGCACCTCTCAGGAGGAAAAGCTGCGAGAGCTGGGCCTTATCTAAACTTATAAATATCTTAAGGGAGGGTGTCAAGAGGATGGGACCAGACTCTTCAATGGTGCCCAGTGACAGGGCAAGAGGCTACAGGCACAAACTGAAATACAGCAAGTTCCACATGAATATGAGGAAAAATCCCGTACTGTGAGGGTACAGAGCACTGGAAAACACTGCCAGGGAGGTTGAGTAGTCTCCTTCTCTGGAGATATTCAAAACCCACCTGGATGTGATCATGTGCAATGTGTTCCAGATGTCCCTGCTTGAGAAGCGGGCTTGGACCAGATGATCTCCAAGGTCCCTTCCACCCTCAGCCATTCTGTGTCTCTGTGTGTGTGGTTATATAACTTTCCCTGCAGCTTACTCTGATGGAATAAAATACAGTGAATATTTTAAAATAAATTTAATTTAATGCTTGAAGAAAAGAACATTAAAAATATTAACATAAAGAATACATCTGCAGCTACTATATAAAATGTGCATACAAAACACACAGAAAATTCAGCTACTGCATTTCAATTTCACAAGAATTTAGGAATGATTCTGTACCATAAACACTGCCAAAAACTACAATACAAAGTAGAAAGGTTTTGTTAGGGAAACAGCTCACAGCTGAGCCAAGAGCTGAAAAACCTAGCAGGATGCTGACTTGCTGTGACAAAACCTTCCCTTGTCAGGGACTGAACGCTGAAGGAACTAAAATCCATAATCTTGTCTTAGACTAGAATATCCTGTCCAGCCATTAGCATTATTCATTCTGATGGTCTCTTGCCACGGTACCATGATTTAACAGTGCAATCATTAAAATACTTCCATCACTCAGTTTTTTGAGTTGTCTCCCTCCATGGAAAGCAGCAAGAAAAAGTTGGAAGAAAAAGAAACCACAAGACAAAACGGTATCAGGTGCAGCAACTTACGTGGCATATTATACTGCTAAATCTACCTCAGAATTTAGCAAAAGGCTAAATTATTGATTATTTGATGGCAATGCAAAAATGTCATTTCTTCCTGTATTCAACGAGGAATAAAAGAAGCTCTAGCAGTTCTGGTATCTGCAATAGAGAAGCACTGTCAGAGTGTTTTCATCCTTAAATCAGTATGTGCCAACACTGGCCACTGAAGGGCAGTTACTACTCACACACACACACAGGGATGTTAGCTCAGTAAACTGTCATACATCACAGTAATAAATATAATTAATGCATGGGTTTTTGGTCTATAGCAAATTCAGACTGATGTAATCCGAATGGTTTAAGTTCTTGTCATACTGCTTACATTTGCTTGACATGAAGAATGTGCAGAGACCACTTCCCAGCTGGACTGGTGAACGGCCACCCAGTGACAAGGGGTAATTCCTTTGTGAGCCAAGGCTCAGGAATAGGAAGGTGTTCTGCAATGTGATTTGATGAAAGAGACTACTAAATAACAGGAATAGTGCCTTTGTTTAGTGGTACGCTACAGATCTTTTCATGCTCTGCTTGGCCATTACTATAATTTAGAGCCAATTAAGAAACACTTAACATGAGCCTGATGAAAATCTGGAACAAAGCTTAATAAGTATAAATTTCCCACTCACCGTGCCCTATAGCTGAAAGCCTCAAATGATTTCTCCAGAGTATCCCAAGAGATCAGCAGCCTTTAAAACTTTGAAACTCTGAAATTCGAAGAATGACTTTCCTCCCTAAAATGATACAATCTGAAATCTTTTACTTTATGGTGTAAAAACAGGTCTTTGTTGCTATTCTTGGAGAGAACAAGACCAGCTGCTGAAGCATCCTGAGATAAAGGATTACCTGGCTGTGAATATTTGCAGCTAAGACACATTAAAGCAGCAAGTGCACGTGTAAGAAGTTTACTGCTTCCAAGGATTACAGCACACAAGTGACTGATCAGCTGTTTCAAATAAAGCTGTTTCAGAATAAAGTACTTAACAGGATAGTCCTTGGGCTTGATATTGCACATATCTGTGTACACAAATGGACATGGGCTTTACAGACCTGAGAGCCCTGGAGGCACAGCTGTGTTCATCTTCAGGATGTTGCTCCACAGATTTGTCACATAACAGAGAAAGATCTCCAAATTAAACATTCTATGAACGTGGCCATTTCTGGCTGCTGTTCCACTACTGAATCCACGCTGCATCAAGTTCTATGTGCTTAATTAACTCAGACAAATTAACAGATTCAAACATTTGCACTGTATAAAATCAAATACTACATAGCAACAGGATTTTTTTTTTTTTTTTTTAAATCTGATAGTTTGGGGACGCTACAGAAGATGCTGGGCCACCTGGATTATTAAGCTTCTCTTCCTGAATCACACAAGATAGAGAACTTTGTCAAGAGGGACAATCTGTCAAATGTTTCACTATCATCCAAAGCATGGGGAATCAAAGTGAGATTAACTGCTCTCAAAACTGCCAGACCTGCTCAGTCCTCATCTCTGCAGATGTTGCTTGGGATGAGCAAAGACAGGTGTGCCAAATTGCGTGCAAGACTGTGCAATCTTACAGCCCATGAACTGAGAAACAGTATTACCAGCCAAAGTTCTTTGTTACTGAACAGACTAACAGTGGGTGACCACTCTGCACTGCTGACCTGCACATCTCCAGCAGTGCCAGCTCCCAGCTTAGCTGAGGCTTCAGGGGACTGCTGGGCCTACTCAAGAGCCGTCTGGCACCAAAGGGGCCCTGCTGTGTTCCCCTCCTTTGCTTTGACTCTGAGATTCCCATGGCTCTGTTGGCATGAGCCAGTTGTCTTTGTTGCCAGGTTAGGTTTTGCCAGTTTGAAGTGCCAAAACAACACAGTGCCAGAGATCACATGGAGGAAGGGATGAAGTGCAAAAAGGGGACTGGGCCGCACAGCCAGCCATCACTGCTTGAGTTGCCATGGAGCTACAGCCCAGATTTTAGTAGCTCAGGTCAGGCAAGGTGAATAGCCCACCACGCTGCCTTCTCAGAGACTGAAAGCCAAGCAATCTTAAGTGCATTTCGCTATGCTGTGTTCATAGTAGCTTTTGATTCCTGGCCATATGGACTCACTGCAAACACCACACAGAACTACATAATATTCCCCTGAGGGAGACGAAGTAACCAACTCTTAGCAGCACAAGATCGTAGAGGAAAACACAACACTACTGATTTGAAGGAGAAAAAGTAGTAAAAGCAGACAAGCAGGCTGTAATCTAAAGATGCTGTGAACTAGTCATGTGCAAGGACACTGTCAGCCTCTGTGAAGGTACAGTGGAAATATTAGCACATTGTCCGTGCTTCTATCTTTAGAAAACTAGTTAATCTCTGTATTCACTCCACAGCGTGTGACAGCACTGGAGGCCCACAAACCTGAGAAATGATTATTCCTCAAATGGAGGAGAGAAGCTGAAAAGCCTTTCCTAACCTTTGGTCAAGAGTCCTTAATCAAAACTGCTCCTGGCTCATTCTTGCAAAAATGTCATAAACACTCCCAGCCAGGCACAAACCCTATTTATTCATCATTAACCTGGCACAGATGTAAAATAAATGAGAAATAATTTGTTCAGCTGTCAGAGAAAACATCTTTGACTGCAGTGCCTTGGATTCAGCAAGTCTTCATTAATCTGACTGGACCCTGTCACACAGAGATGCTGCTGTTAGCTTGCCTGGCCTGTGCACAAATTAACAAGAAGTAGCCATCAAGCACACAGCAGCAAGGGCTGTAATAAAACCAAGTGCAAGATCTGCACTCCTCTGATGGGAAGTGGATGAGATGAACATCACATAATAGCTTCATGTCTGGAGCAAGGCCTGAGAAAGCTATATTAAAAACACATTCTACACTCCACATAAATCACTGGCAGCTCAGAGAGCATAAAGGAGCACGCCTTCAGGTCACTGGCAAGTTTCAGCTTTGTTGAAAGCATGAAAAAGTCAAGGTGTCTGTCCATCTCACAGAACTTTGTTTGCTCTCATTTGTTACCAATCCATTAAAACCAGAGCTATAAAGATTGGTCAGGGATCTACTGCAGCTGCCTAATTGCAACCACAATATCCACGTTACTAAACTAAACTAAAGCTCCAGCAGGTACTTATTACAGCTTGAAAATTACAGCATTTCAGAAAATGGAGCTCTTGCCTGGACATAAAGTCTACTCTGATTTACGTGGCAAGAAATATTCTGAAGCACAGAGGACAGCTGTACAGCTGAGTTAGCAAACACTCCTTGTCTCCAAACAGAACAGTAGTTTTGACTCTGAAACTCTCTTTAATGCTCTACTGCACATGTGGCACTTGTATCTCCCTGGGCTGAGCTCAAGATGATGGAGCTAGCCAGCACAGAAGACAAGAAACAGTTTTGGAAAGGAAAGAAAAAGATCTGTGGAGTCCTCTGAAATAATGATCCATAGGCTGTAAAGAACACAACACAACAAGAAGGGGGAATTGCTACATGGCTGAGATCACCCCATTGCATGACACTAGGCAGGAATAAGTCTTTGCTTGAGTACAGGTATTTTGTCTCCTGGATGAAATATGAGGTGGTTCTCAATCAGTTGTTTTTATGACAAAGTATGAGTACACCACTTTTCACAGCTTTGTTACACTCAGGTACAGTCTACATGAGTGATTTATGGCATAGAAGAGCTCTTCTTGCAGTAAATTTGTCTTCTATTTGTAATTGGGATCTTGCAGCAGGCAATCATCCACCACACTTGTAATGTGGATGCAAGGTCTTACAACAGCTAGTTTTGTATGAGTGGCAGATGCCTGTGGCCAGAAACTGGCACAAATTCCACTGCTAGTGAGGACAAAAACATGGATGTGTGGTGTTGGAACCAGTGAATAAAGCACTTGTGCTTGCCTCTTCCAGCCACCAGCTGGTAAGGCAGCTGTGCCCATCAGCTCAATTATGACATCTTTGCTTCTCTTAAAAGCCCTACTGATATTCAATCCTATACTTGTGTACCAGTGGTGTCATTTAACACCCCAAAGCACTATCTATTTTTTTAAAACCTTGTTTTCCAAAAAAAATGAACTTGGTGCTGATGTATGTAGCTGAGTTTAGGGCCACTCTGGAGTAGGAGTAGTGAGATTCTGATATCATCTTGGAAATGGATCAAAATGCTGAACACAGAACTGCAATGATTCAAATATTTCTAGGATTATTTATGTGGTTATAAAACTGTTGCAAGTTAAGCTTTCAAATATCACAGCAATATAGAAATGCTCTTATAAGATATCAGTCTAAAAGTATACTTTATAAGGTTCAATAGATTTATAGTAGATTTTTTGGGTGTTTTTTATTTTTGCACAAATAATCCTCAATGAGTGGAATACTGAATGCTCTGTAAACTATCAGTTGATTGGGGATTTAGTGCTACTGTAGTAAGATGAGTTTTAGTAAGGAAAAACCTGATAGTATCTGACTAAAAGGATAGGAAGGACATTCTATCATTGAATTGATCATTCAGTAACTCAAAAAAAGCCTCTTGCAAGAGAAACTGGTTACTACAATTCTTTTTTTCTGCAGTAAAAATGTATAAGCAGTAATATACTAGCAGCCACAGTTAGAGGAACGAGTGCCTGTAGCTCCCATTAATGTTTATGTGAATCTTTATTTCACTTGTGCTTATTGCAGAATGTTGCTCCACTGGACCATATGGAAACTTTAAGCACAAGAACTGCATGGGGTTTTAATTAAGTGACTGTAGTTGTTTCTCACATGCCCCAGTACAGGAGAAGAGTTTGGGGTTGGCTCTAAAAGAAATGTTCTTCTAACAATGCCCAGTGCAGTTTCTTTATCAGTAGTCACATTGGGAAAGGTGTTATGCTAGGTGAAAATGAAACAGAAAAAATGCTAGGGCTGGTATAGAGTATTTTTTCTAGTGAATAGACCCTCACGTATGTCAGCACAGATATGGATCTGGGATTGCAGGAAAGTGTGCAAAGTCATGCCCTACCAGGACTCCAGGGAATGCAGGATGAAACCTAGTTGATTGTCCTCATTTGGAGCTGAACTGGACCTTAGACAGGAATACAAGCAAGAAGAGGGTTTTTTACAATAATTATACAGCTCTGGTTCATCAAACACTTCTTCACAAAATTAACATAATTCACAGGACTGATCCCATTACATCCACAGCATCACTCACTGGCCACAAAATTAAAGCACGTGAACTACTTGACTATCTCTAACCTGAGGGATTTTTTTTCATTTGTGCACCCTGGGACAAACTAAGAATGACTTAGCTCTGAATTAATAACTCCACTGTAGTTCTTCTCATCACCTTTCTCATATAGACAAACACTAGTGTTTACAGGACTGAGTTCTTAATTGAAAGTATTCATTACCAACTTGGGCAGCTACCATACAGTGACTATTGCCCATGTTCCATGATATGGATTAAACCAGAGACCTTACATCAAAATAATTTAATGATACTTTAAGAAGAAAAACATTATGAATGTCATATATTGCCACCATCCTGAGATTGTGCTTTGCTACAATTAAAACCACAGTCAGAAGTTTCAGAATTTACACATAAATGTTATTTTGTATTAAAAAAAAAGAATACTTAAGAATTGGAAATGTAGCAGTAAATGCGTGAAAAATCCCTTCCTTTTCTCCCTAAATTTCAAATATTTATCTATTGTAATAATGCAGTTTAATGCTCACAAAATCATATCAGATCAAATCCAACATCGAGGTGCTAAGATATACACAAATTGTCTCCTTTGGATCATCACCCTAGAATTAAAACAATAAAACATGTTACTGATATTGTTAGTACAGTAGGAAAATCGCTTTTTATATTCAAACCAACCAATAGCTTACATGTATTTCACCTTCCGCATGTGCTTTTCAGCTTTATTACAGACTGGAGGTTGCTGACATTTATTACACAGGCTCACAAAAGTCTCCTGGCTAAGATGGGCTGCCAATGCCCAATCTAGCTCAAGCATCTTCTTTTCCTAAAGCAGGAGTGCTTCTTTTCAGCATCCCACCCGCATCACCCTCTGCAGCCTTCTAAACTGAACAGGGCTGGGCGCAACCACATCCACTCCTCATCTGAACATGGGTAACTTTTAAATTATATTATCTTAATCATATTTTGAAACAGCTAGAGAATGAATTTATTCTGTTTGTTCAACAGCCTAGTTCTGCTGCTATAAAACAAAATAAAACCTTCCTAAATCTGTACAGATTTTTTTTCCATTTGATTTAACATCTAATGCAAATTCTAATCTGATTTAATCTATTTTTTCTTCTAATCTGGTGGGATTTAAATAAACAGAAGCAACTTATCTCCACTTGTTTCGTTACTGACATTATTCTTAATGTACTTAGCTCAGTGGCTGAACGCAGAAGCAAAGTGCGTAGTTTAAAGTGACATGGCACAGGTACTAACGCAGAAGACCTTTCTTCTAATGCTGCACACATCTAACAATTTGATGCTGGATAATATTTAGGGAGGCTGAAATTTAGCTGCCTGGCAGGGATTCAGATGTGTCTTTATTTTCAAAACGTGATATTTTTCTCATTAAAAGTAAATTGCTATGTAGCTCATGTGTCTCCCACTGCGACACCGCAAGGATGAAAGAATTCCAGTAGAATTTAACCTCATATTGGTATCCTACAGTTATAAATAGGCTATTTATAACAATTATAAATAGATTCTTTATAACAGTATTTATAACTGATTTGCATCTCCAGGAACTTTTAACATTAAGAAAATACTACATGCTGGCAGGGTGGCACAGCCCAGCTAAGTTTGATGAGGAGAGGATCGTGAGTAAGGAGGCCGGCAGTCACCTGCTTTGCATGATGTTGCCCAGCAAGCTCCACCCCAGCTGGAAGTCTGCTTGGTTTCTCTCTCTGTCACAAATAGATGGCTTTTCTTCATCTGCTTGCTATTAAAAGCCCAGACCCAGTTGTTGCTTTTCAGGTAACACACACTCACACTCAGTTGAAAGTTCAGCAGCCCTTACCCTCCAGCCACCAGCATGTCCCTGCTCAGCCTCTCCTCCTATAGCACTTTCTGCTCAGACGATTGAGCACTATTCCCTGCCCCGGGCTCAGGGAGTATCAGTTCCATTCTTATTCACCATGTTTTTTTCTGCTGACTGACTCCTCTGAGCAGCTGCTTAATGCTGCTGTGCTGTGTGTCAAAGCAACACATACTCATCTTCCCCACTGTCTCTTTCCAGCAAGCAGAAAACCCGATGCTTTCTCAGTCAGATATCGTTTGCATTTTAACCAGGCTTCTGAGCCATCAATTTTTTGCCAGTCTGATTAATTTATCATCTGACATTTTTTCTAATCAGATTTTTCTCTCTATTTTTAAACAGGATTCAGGCCATTTCCCCTCCCTGAGCCCATGTTTACTTGAAGCTAATGACATGCCTTTCAGGCTTATGAGGTTAAAGCAATGAACAAACAAGACTTCTTCCTTCAGCTGCAGGGCCATAGCAAAATGATTCTGTAATTTAATACAAAATAATAAAGATCATTATTTTAATTACATTTTGAGATTTTGCTGATGTCCCATTTCCCATCTTACGATCTGTGATAGGTATGCATCTACTTTAGCAAAGACACGCATTTCTGCTAAGCACAATCTTAACAGTGCAGGAGTGCATATCAAGGTTGATGGAGTTTCCCACATTGTTCCAAACCAGTTCTAAAGGACTCTCACACCTGACAGTCCCTTCTATCCAACAAGCAAAGAACACCTCTGCAATGACAAGAATGGCAAGCAATACTGCAGAAAATAGTCATTGAAATGCAGGTATGCTCTCCCTGTGGTGCTCCAGCATCTGCTACCTGCGTGCAACACAGGTGCTTGCAGTACAGCACTTCTTATTCATTCACTTCTTATTTATAGCAGCAGACTTGTGTTCCAGTAACATGTGAGGGAAATTCTGCCCGAGACTTTTGTGAATGCCCAGTGATATAAAGAAGCTTCAGCTATCCCACTAACAGGGAAGAGTGGGAACAAGAATAACATTAAAGAGAAATTGAAAAGAGAAATGAGATTGTTCAATTTTTTGAAAAAGTCATCTTCTGCAAAATATACTCATTATAGGATTTCAATTATCTCTTATATTTGATAATAGTAGCAAAATGATATCTCACGCTGAACGCATTTAATTTCTTTTTATTAAAAGACTAACTTTTCTCTCTGTAAATAGAAGTGATTAACAGAGTGGAGAAAAATCTGAGGCAGCACAACTTATCCTTCTGGTTGCTTTTTCCTTCACAGCTCATTTTGTAAATTTGACCACAAAAGTAATTTTCAGTCTGCAAAGCATGGACAGCATTTAATTAACCCATACAGATGCTTAAACATTTTTGTGGCTTCTATCTGCTTCTCTGGATGAAAAATTCATAAGGAGCTGCCTTTCATTTTCCTGTTTAGTGTAGTTACTACAATTAAAATTGCATGGAATGTCTCCAGTGATTTATATTGCAGAAAGAATAAATACAATGGAAACTGCAGGATATAAACAGCTTGGCCACTAAGAAAAAATACATTATGTATTTCATAACCTTTCCAATATGTTGCAACCTTTTACAAGCAAAAAACCTTACCTTAGCCATGTGAAATCGCATACACACACACCTCCTTTGAAATAATCTCCTACTATGGACTATAGACAAGAACGGATTCACCAGATAAGCTAGAAGGGACTTAGAAACTATTTTATTTTATGCTAACAATACATGAAAGCAGTTTATTTTTCTATTTCTTCAAAGAAACTTACACCATAAAAGGTTGTGCCTTTTTGGTATTAGCAATCAGCAAGTTTAAAACTTAGCAGTCCCTGACCACAAACCAACTGTGAATGTATCTTTGACAGCGTGTCTTCTAAACAGCATCAAAAGGTACTTTCAAATATATTTCATAACTGAGCCATAAAAAAAGCCTTTAGCTTTCAAACTTTCTGGCTTGAGCAAGCTGATGTTATCTTAATTTATTTAAATAAAAATACAGTAATAAGATTACATCAGTCCAATTAAAGTCCACTGCATGTGGTGATTCTACTTTACAGTTCACTTACTATTATATTAACTTGAACCCTCTGGGAAAACAGAGCTGAAAGGCAAATCTGATGACATATTTTGAGCTGGGGAATTTCTGAATTAGCTTAGAAAATGAGGAAGTACATGAGGAAGTACAGGCACAGAAACAAGCCACCCAGGGCAGTGGTCGTGGCCCCAGGCCTGCTGGAGTTCAAAAAGCTTTTGGACAATGCTCTTAGACACTGGGTTTGCATTTTTGGTGGTCCTGTGTGGAGCCAGGAATTGGATTCAGTGATCCCTGTGGGTCCCTTCCCTTGAGACATTTTATGGTTTTGTTCTAAGTATCTATACAAATAGGGAAAAATCAAGATTGAAAATATACAGACAAGTATTTTTAGTCATCTGTAATCTGTATGTGGTAAAATGGTTCAAGGTCAGGGGCCAGACTGTTTGCTGCATTTCTTTAAGGCAGCGCACAGAAGGCAGAGGACCAAGGGGGATGGAACAGTTTGAAAGAACATAGAGGGTATGACACTTCATCCTGTATTTGTAACTTCCAGATTCTGGGCTGCCTCAAGGTAAAATGCTCAGCAAGATCTGCTGTAGTGTATGGCAGCTTCTTCACTGCCATCCACAAGCTGCTCTCCAGCCCAGGGCTGACAGAGCATACTGCTCTAAACATATTTTTCCCTAGTGAGAGGGAATAAGAATGCATACACACTAGTTCTACACGGGGCCAACTTAATCCTTACTTTAGCCACTGTATACACCTGGAAATACTATGTCAGGATTAGCTGTCATCGCTTGTAGATTACAGTGCATGACTGCCTTAAATAAAGTGATTCACAAAGGAAGTTGGTTCAAACCAAACACAGGTTGGTGGAAATGTTTACCTGAAATGAGAAGACACCACTGACTGACTGCAAATTGCAGTGATAATGTGTGTTTAGCTATCTTCCCATCTTAAGTTCACATGTAGAAAGCATTTCTCTGCACTGCAGTACATTATATATATTATCCAATATTTCTCTTTTTTACAAACACAACATTTATTGAGTGCAAGGTAGAAACGTCTCCTTAAGGAGGAGTACAAAACCGTTTGCAAAACCAGTTTTGCTTTGACACATGACTTCAATAAAGACATTTTATGTCATAGGAATGTGACCTACCTTTTTAGTCTGATTCACATTTACCAAACTGCAGCTTCAAAATGCCTTTGCCATGAAGCTGAAGGATCTGGTTGTATTCTTTGGGCATTGCATGGAAACCTGGTTTGGGCAGCTGGTTGTCGTAATAGTGGTGGCTGATTGGCATCTTCTCTGTGGATTTTGAGAAAGGCCAGAAGCCGTAAAGCTTCACATTCTCACACAACTCAACAGCAGCACTAGTGATCATAAAACCAGATGACAACCGGTAGGCTTTCACACCCTTAGTTCTCCAGAACTGGGCAAGACTTTTCAGATAAGTGGGGTGAAAAAATATTGCCCTTTGGGTTGCTTTGAACTCTCGCAGAGTATGATAGACTTTAAAAGACGTAGCTGTGTTGCTTCTGAAGGAAAACGCTGGCAATAAAAGGAAAGCATCTCCATAGACCGCAACATTCTCCACAAATTCTGTCTTCTTTTCATTTAGTTTGTTATATCTGCCAAGCACAATATTTTAGGAAAAGAGTGAATGGAATACACTATGAAATAAATATACTACAGACCAAAACTGCATAACTGCACTTGCATATAGGATTTGTAAACCCTTCTGTACCAGTTCAGCCTGTCTACACTGTGAATTTATACTGATCTGTTACGTCTTGTCACATGTGCTGTAAGGAAAAATCTGGCTCTTTTGTATAATAAGAACACATCACATTTGATTGATTTGGCAACACAGGAGTTACTGGAGAAGAAAAATTCACAGCTAAGGAGACGAGGACCTGTTCACAGAAGTGGCTGATTCAAAAAATTTTGAAGGAGAATTCAAAAAACAAAAATGATACATCCTCTGCTTAAGAATACTTCCCTAACGGTATGGACTATTTCTTCCATCAACATGTACATAATAAGCCCTCTTCAAACCCTGGGTGTCTGCCTTGTGTGGAAATGCTATTATGCACATGAGCAGTCTTGAAGCATTAAAGATGAGTGGGTGCACAAGTTTTGCAGGGTTTTAGTTGCTTTTGACATGCTTTTAAAACAGCTGAAATATAGGCATGTCTATTTATCTCCTTTGACAACAAAGGGAACAATGGTGCTCTAATTTCACAGGTGAAGAAGATTTATACTCGGTTTGGTTCCTCAACAGTCAGCAAAGAGACATAAGAGACATTTTTCTCATTGTCAAATAATGCAGTGCTCCCAAATACTGAACTTTACAGAGTGATACAAGACACAAGGGCGCCTCTCAATTAATTTACTTTATAGATCTTAGTTGTCTGAATCATCTGAACATATGGCACTTTCAATTCCTTTGGGTTTCAAAATCCTGAGTCCTCTTTTTTTGGCAGCTACCCATGTGAGCAGCACACTTCAACCTTTTATTGGCTACCAGAGACAACTGTTCACAAATGGCTCTATTTCCAGAAAATGGAAAAAGTATTTTCATTTCTCTTTGCAACTTGAGCACATTCAAACTCTCTTCTCATGCAGAACTTCAACACAGAGGACAGCAGCTACTGCTATTTCCAATCAAAACTCTCACTCTACTTAATAATTGTCTCTTGCACAATTGAACTCACGCAAAGAAGAGACAACCAGTCTCAGTCTGAAGGGATTTAAACTTAGTTTCTGCTTCTCAGAAAAATCCCATTACCAGCAGACTCTGAAACACAATGAATGAGAGACTCCTGCTCAACCTAGCCTCCTGTGCATCCAAGAGCCATGTAGTGAAAGCAAGCAAGAGTCCTGAGCTTATTGCTAAGGATGAACTTCTGGGCTCTCCTCCCAGAATTATCTTTGTTTTTACTTACTGTAATATGTATAAAAAGCCTTCGTTCAGAATTCAGATGTCTGCACTTCCTTCTTAGCTAGAAAGCTGGAACTTTCTATTCAAGTGTTTCTGCTATAAGGTGTGGTATAGCCCAGTTTCATTAGGACACACAATAACCGTGCTTGTTCCCTGCAAGAAAGTCTGTTAACTTTTTGGCTTGCCTGGGCCACATTGAGTGAAGAGGAATTGTCTTGGGCCAATGTTTTGGTTGTTTCTGAATGAGTGGTGTGCATTCAAGGCCAGGCCTGGTTGCTCTGAATGAAAGAGACACTGCCATGATGGCACAGCAGGGCGTAGGGCGGGCTGCAGGGCAGGCTGGGCTGGACTGCATGCAGTCCAGGGGCCAAAGGTTGGACATGCCTGGAGTTCAAGAGGTAAACATCAAACTCAGTACTGAGACAGAGAATTAGAAATCAAAGTGAATTAAGTAAGGACTTCTAGATGAGAAAACAAAGTTAGCTCTGCTCTGTGTTACTTCCTTGTCCTTTCCTCCTTCTAAAGCTTTAAAAGTCTTCTCTGAAAATTTAAATAATCATTTTTTTTCAAATCCTAAAGGATTTGTTAACTTCAAGGTTGCTTAATTTGGCTAAAAAAGAGTGTACCTGTGGCAGGGGGCTATAATCAAGGTCAGAGAAATATTATAGAATCACAGAATCACGAGGTTGGAAAGGATCTACAAGATCACCACGCACTAGGTCAGCAGTCACCAGTGAAGTGGAGTCACTGGACCAACTTTTACTTCTCAGATTTTCGTGCACCTCCACTAACATCAATGAGCTAAATCTGCTTTGGGGCAAGCTACAGTTCATCTTCATTTAAGTTAAAAGGGCTGAGTAGCCATCAAAGCAGTTAAGACTTATTGCAAAAATTCAGTTTACATCCTGAAACAATGGCAAATGCCTATTAGTCATTTCTATGCTTATTGTACCTTTCCTTTTGCCTTCTAACAAAGGAAAAAAAAAATCAAAACAAGCTTTGCCTGATGTCCATTTGACATATACTGATAAAACAGACAATGAGACACAGTAAGATCAGTAAGCAGCAAATAACATGCCACCGCAGTCCTTTTCATAGATAAGCTGCAGCTCCAGACCGCTGAAGATGTCTGAAGATGTTGGATTAGTCAGGCTGGCCTTACTAGATTTTCTTTTCATGAAGGAAGTAAAAATAACTACTGAGAAAAGAACAGTGACCAGTGTGGAATGAAAAAACAGATTGCAAAGGTTGGGCATCCATTTAGAAAATATCCTTCATCAGAACAGCTCTTTAGCATATTAACTAGGAACATGTGTTTACAGTCCTGCTAATAGAGCTGGACACACATTTCCAAGCTTTCCCAATTTATTATTGAAATTCCTTTCTTACATTATGGGGTCATAAAGGTCATGGAAGGAAAGAAAGCAGCTTGGGCTTGCAACCATCAGTTTTACTTGGTTATAAAGTTTAGACTGGTGCCAACCAAGTAACTTGCTAATCTGGGTACTGCTGACTCCTTTCTGCTAAAAAAAAAAGACCAAGCATAGTAGATTTCCATTCAGAATAGTACATATTTTACATGGGAACTAAAGCTCATTAATGAAGTAATCAGCATGCACTGCTATGTTGTTATCTCAATGGATTTTTAACAAAGTCTAAATCACATCAAGCAATTATATAATATTGCACAGAAACAGAATTTCAGTATTACTTACTTCTGAGCTATGATACTTGGATTAACCGTCACAAGATTTGTTTTATTGCCAACATCTTTGCTAATGCTTCCCATTGTTGGAGGGAGGTTACACCTGAAATTGAGAAACATTTATTTAAGCAGATGCTTCATAGTATTTATTTGCAAATTCCTCTGTTGTGCAATGACACTTTCATGCAACCATGGAACCCGTAAGTACTTTACAAATATTAAATAAGGCTTACAGCACTAGCATTTTTGGTAAAAAAAAAAATAATAATCTACTGTACAGATGGTTAAAATAGGGCATAGAGAGCTCATTTTCATAAACCATCTCACAAATCAGAGGCACTGTTAAAATCCTGTCAGGAGACAGTCTATGAATGCCCTATGTTAGCTGCCTGAAAATACTGCACCTCTTGCCTAAACCATGCATTTAATCTGCAAAGTTTTCTATCATTTCCTGTCTAAAAAGACTGATTGATGCCAATCCCTCAGTTGGCACAGCAACGCTGATGGCTGTTTCACGACATAACAGCAGAACTTGCTCAACTGCAGAAAGAATGGTTTTGGTTATAAGGTAAAGGAGGTATTCTTTTGAAGTCACACATTTAGGTTTAGCATGTTAGTATACAGAATTCTCACGTATTAAAATCAGTTATCTAATTGGAAAGATTTTTTAAAATTATTTGAAAAGCCCATATATTACCTAAAGTCAGGAAAAGAAACAGAGTCAACAAGACCATATGATTGGTCAGTGTTGAGAGAAGTATTTTGGTTAGTGTTTACAGAAACAACAATCTCTCACTTGCACTGAAAGAATGGGCCAAATTTTGCTCCAAACTTGCCTTTTTTTCAACATTCTACAGAGGGAAGAAACAGGATGAGTCTCTGAACAACTCGATCTAACCATAGATGTCATAGGAAGGCTTAAGTTGGAAGAGACTGAAAATGTCATCCAGTTCCAACCCTCTGCTGTGGACAGGATTGTCATCCACCAGATGAGGCTGTCCAGGGCCCCATCCAGGCTGGCCTTGAGTGCCTACAGGGATGGGGCATCCACAACTCCAAGCAGCCATGCCAGTGCCTCAGCAACCTCCCAGTAAAAAAATTCCACATAATATCTAACCTAAATCTCTCTTGTTTTAGTTTAAAGTAATTTCCCCTTGTCCTCTCACTATCAGACCACATATAAAGGAGGTCTCTCTCCTATTTTTTAGTTCCCCTCAGTTTCCAGAAGACCACAATGAGGTCCCCCAGAGCCTTCTCCAATCTAAACAAGCCCAGTTCCCTCAACCTTTCATCATAGGAGAGGTGCTACAGCCCTCTAATCATCTTCACAGCCTCCTCTGGACCCAGTGCAACAGCTCCACGCCCTTCTTGTGTTAGGGACTCCAGGCCTGGAGGCAGATGGGGTCCGACAAGGGGCAGAGTAAAGGAGGACAATCCTCTCCCTCTCCTTGCCGGCCATCCCTCTTATGATGCAGCCCAGGATACAGTTGGCCTTCTGGGCTGCCAGCACACACTGTTGGCTCACATCAAGCTTTTCATCCACCAGAACCCCCAAGTCTTTCTCCACAGGGCTGGTCTCAACGAGTTCTCCCAGTCTGCATGCATATCTGGGATTGCCTTGGCGCAAGTGCAACACCCTGTAGTTGGCCTTGTTGAACCTTGCTAGGTTCCCACCCTGGGCCCACTTCGCAAGCCTTTCCAGGTTCCTCTGAATGGCATCCCTTCCTCCTGTTCTGTCAACTGCACCACTCAGCTTGGTGTCATCAGCAAACTTACTGAGAATGCACTGGATCCCACTGCATGTTGATCATATCTGTTCAATGCAAAGCAGTTGGACTAGATGATGTTTAAAGATCACAGACCCCTTCCAACTCAAACGATGCTATGATTCCATGAAATATTATTTAAATCTGATGCTCCCAGATGGTAAGACAAATTCTGGGGCAGTTAAGTAACTGCATTAGTGACCCAACCCGTGACTAGATAAACCCATTGGCAAAAGTAAACACAGTATTTAACAACAGACTTGTTTTAATTCCAGAGACTTTTTTTTTTTTTTTTTACTATCTTCTCCTTAACAAAAAAAAAAAAATTCTCTTAAGAGTGTTGATTGAAAAGAATTATCACTTTCTCAGATAATCAAGTTTTACACTACTGACACAGTATCCTTGTAATTTTGGATTATATATCTATCCATAAAATCCCTTTTTTACTAAGAAAACAGAGTCCTTAAATCTATAAAGCTGGAGGAGTACTCTTTGAGAGGTAGATCTTCATTGCTACAAACTGGCATTGGCAAGCTTGCTAAGCTTGTAGAAATGTCCAACAGCCTTCAGAAAGATGAAGCAGCTCTTACCTAAACACAAAATCAGAACGATCTATTTCAGCTCCACAGCTGGAATTTTTCAGAATGCCTCCATTTCCAACCACAGCACAGTTCTTGAAGGGATAAACTGAAAGAGGAGAGGACTGCAAACAAATAAAAAGACAGTGGATGCTTAATAAATTTTTTGATTGTTTCTTTGTGCCTTCAGTCATTTATCCTTGCAGCTCTAATCTCGTAAATCCCAGTGAAAGCATTCACCATTTAGCAGACTGCATTGCCAGGCACAGACGGCCAAAAGCCAAAAATAGTCACCAACAGACTAGAAACCGCTACTTCCCTCTTGGGTATTTTGATGGTACAGTGTCAGACCGTTAAAACAGGATGAATATAATTTACATTTGTGTAATGAAAAAAACGTAGTACTGGATTGAGTCTGTGAAAAGCTAAGGACCTAGCTCCTACTGAAGATAGCTTAAATTCTCCCATTTTCCTTTTCAATTAAACACACTGGGAGTTGTCACGTTGTCATTGTCTGTGTCAGCTAATAAAAGGTAACCTTGCAAATGCTTATTATTTTGTAATAAGTTGTTGGTGTTTTTTTTTTTTTTTTTTAATACTAGGTTGCTGTCTTGCCCTGGGGAACCTGAATGAGACCTTAGTGTATCCACTTGTGAATGAGAACAGATCACAACTTAGTAAATTCATGTAAATTGTTGATTATTTCAGTTGATATTAATTTAGTTGGTTATTATCGCACGGTCCCAGAAACTCCTCATACATCTCATTCACTCCTCCCTGCTATGGGAGCACAGACATTCAACAGAGAAGGCCAGCAACAGGGCTACTTAACTGCAGAAACTGAATCTACATGTAAAAGTGAGTCAAAACTTGCTTACATGAAGCATTATCCCTCCTCACATTCTCATCAATTTGCTCAAAAAAAAAGCATAAGGGGGAACTGTTATCAACAAGGTAAAAAGAGCAGGGAAAATGGCAGATGTCATGTTGCCTGGCAACGTATCATTAACCATATTCAAGTATCCTGTTTAATTCTGAAGACAGTAGAAAAACACAGAGGACAGAACTGTGGCTAACCTAGCAAACATACGTTAAGAAATATTACACTTTTTCTTTCATTTGGAACCTCTGTCACCTCCTCCATTTCTTTAGTGATTCACAGCAGCATAAGAAAGCACTAGGCTCATCATACAAATCAGAATTAGAGAGGACATTCTGTCTTTGAATTCCCAGAACAGTTTCTCTGTGCTGAGACACAGGCCCATGGGGAGGAAGAGAGATTTTCTCCATACTGTTGAAGTAGAGTTGCAACTTCCTCCATTGTTTTTTCCATTATCATTCCAGAACATTGCTGTAAGTGCGCTGACATATGATGACGGTGTGCTCCACACAAATTTCTCTCACAGATTGCCAGCACCTGACATCATCTGGATCTTGAGATAACTGATCATTGTCTAGGTCTATATTATACATCATCTCCAGCACAGCTAATTCCCTCAAGTACTACATATGTTTCTCCACAGTGGTCCATTTGCCTGGGAAATGGACCATGTTTTCCTTAGGGTGAAGGTTTGAGTCCCTTATCCAATTGCTTTGTTAAGGGCTCCTTCCCTAGAAAAGGATCCCAGTTGTCTGGCATTTATGCCCATTAAAACCAGGCTACTGGGCCCATTATTCCACATTGGAGCAGCCAAGTGACAATATGATCTCCTGGATGATGGCTGAGGTCTTTTCGCATGTCTCGCAGTTCACCCACAACTAGGGGTCAGACTGTTTTTGTCCCCTTTATGAATGCTGATTCTTTCTCCTCCTGTCCTTGTGATAGCTCTACTTCATTTTCTTCCATCCTTGTTTTCGTTTCTTTCCCTACTAAATGAGTTGGCTTTTGTAGCCATTTATTTGCCTTTTATACAGAGGCAACTAGTAGTGGCACAGGTTGGTTCTCTAGTTGAACTACAAGGCCTGTTGCAGGGGACAGAGCAATAGCTGGGCCTGTTCAAATCCAGATATCTCTTTCCCTTTGGGGTGCTGTAAAGCACTGAACAGGTCTCAGTAAAAATGGACCAGGTCCCAGCACACTGCAGTGATTTTTGTCTCTCCAGGATTGCCAAGGCAACAGCATACCTCTTCCAAATTCGTCAGGATTCCGCAGTTGTTCAGGGGTGAAATTCCAAAACGCTGTGGGTGCCCACTGCTTTAGGTACCCACCCATATCAACCCCAACTCTCTGCCACTCATAACTTTCCAGCTTTGGGGCAGACCTCTGGAGGATTTTCATAAATAGTTGTTTAACCTTAAACAAATCCTGAAGTATGTTAAGTAGGCATAGCATTAGATGCATACTGATTTGAACATTACCACTTGCCTCCACCATAGCCTGGCTCCCTGAGGAGACCAAGTAAAGAGTGAAATTATTAATAGTTTCCAAGATATGGTTTCCAAAGTATGAAGATTACTGAAATATCAAATACAAATATCAGATTAGTTTCGCAACCAGTGTTACAGAAAAAGGATAACCTTAGTCCAGCCCCCAGAGATGGCAAACAGGGATCATATATAGCAAGTAATATGGTTTCATGAAAAAACTCTGACAGATCTCCAAAAATAATAAAAAAAAATAACATTCTGACCAGCAACTATTAAATTACTGTCATGCTTGTTACAGTTTTGTTTTAACAAGCTCTCATCAGATCTGTTGTCATCTCAACCCTTCAGGCTTCACATTGGTTGCCAAAGGCTGTTGAAATTGAATCCAGCAAATAGCTCAACACCACATAGTCATTTGTTCATTCCTCACCAGGTAGAATGAGGACTAGAAACAGCTAGGGGGTAGAGATAAAAATTATTCAGAAAAACAGAAAAAAAAACAAAAATACAACAATAACTAAATATACATATATACAATTACCCACCAATGCTCCACTACCAACATTTGCCAACCAACACACAGCCAACCCGCAAGCAGCAACCACCCCCAAAGCCAGCTCTGCACCCATGCTATGGAATAACCCCAGACCAAATTCTGGCCACCTCTCCTGGTTCTGTCCCACCCCTCTCTGCTTCACCATAAAGGCAGTGGCTCTTCCCCACTGAGTGACCGGGCTCAGCCCTCTTAGCATTCAGAAACAACAGCAGTGCAGTATTAACAGTGTCAGCTGAAACCAGGACACCTTTGTCTGGTTTTTAGATCTTATATATTTGCTAACAGACCCTAGCTACAAAATCTAATTCCTTTGCTCACTCTGTGTTTCTGGCTGCAAAGACTTCATCTCACCATCAGATTTATCTGCAAAACAGCCTCCACAAGTGACAAACCTTAGCCTTCAGGAGAAATAGCATGGGAATACCAGGAATATGAAATATAGCTCAAAACTGAAAGGTATTTAAAAGATGGGAATGAAAAAAAAGGCAACCTTCCTCAATTCTTCAGCCCTGAATTCAGCTGACTGCCACAACAGGCAGCAGCTTGGATTCTATAGTAACTCTACCTACAACCAGATCTACAATGTGCTGGTCATGCCTTTACCACTGGCAAAGAAAGGCAAAAAAAGAAGTCTCACAAAGTGAAAGAGGAAAAGCATACAGGGCGAAGGGGCTCTTCTAGAGAAATAAAAGAAAGCAGCTCTATTACTATTCCAAAGTATATATAATACTGTAATTATAATAACAGGCAAGGATACAGTTCTTACCACAGGCAGCATTCTAAAAATGTCTTCTGTAATGAGGATGGTCTTTTTACTGTCCACTTCATAACTCATGTTACTTCCCAGTGGGGTGTTGTTTTGAGAAGCAATAAAATTGTGAACTGCATTACAGCAGGAAGCTAACTCTGACCTGAAAAAAAACAAACCAAACCTGCTCAAAGACAGGCAAATAAATAGAAATGAAGTAGCAGAGAGCTAGATGAATGAAAACCACTTCTATCTAACTAAGCACCAGAAGTCTGTATGAGCCCTCTATAGGAATATCATTTCCCTTCACTTGCAAGCTCAATTTCACAGCAAATATTCAGAAACTAATCAATGCAAGAGAACCTTCTTTTGAATGGCAATTATTTAAAGCTGTAATTCCTGTAAGCTAAGTGTATTTCACAACATGGTTTCTAACATCATTTGAATAAAGGACAAAGTATTTCAAACGACAAATGTCTGTAGATTACTAACGACCAGAGAAAATCTTTATTTTCCCAACAGTTCCTCAGGTGTTGTCTGCATTGGGTATTTGCAATCATCAATTCATAAGAGCTGTTGGACTGAAGACAAAAAAAGATCGTGAAATTTCATAGTGAGGAGATTTTCAGAAAAAAAAGAACCTACAAAATACCTGCAATATACCAGTAAAATTTAAAGGATTCAGTCATAAACAGTGAGGGGATATTTTATCTATGCTTACTTATGCAATCCTTTATAATGGGCAAGAAATTACCTTACAGTACTGCACTGAGGGCTCTAGAACAGTGGATTTCTCCAAGCTCCTGACAATCTGAGTCAATAACACCAAAGTGCAACAAGGCATATTAAGAGTTACTGCAATCTTTTAGAAAAGAGCGATTAAATATATCTGAAACAGAACGTGGTGAAGGGATATGCCACACTGACGAGCCCTTGAACTCCTCATAAATGTAGTATGTCATGTATGTCTGAGACAATGAAATGCAAGGTTGAACCTGAAACCAGGGCTGAATATGTAGGAAGTGTAATAGATTTTTCTAACAAAACATTTGGAAAAAGTCAACCATAAAAACATAACAAAATCTAATCCAAAATTAGTTTTCTCTTATAGGAATTCTTCAATCTTTAGGGAAGTATGACATCTGCAAAGCAATTAACAGATGTATTCTTAAATCACACAATGATCTTGGAGTTCTATGTTTTTTCATATGCACTGGAATGGAAGATTTCAGAGAGCACAGTGAGTTATCGATCTGTTTAGTGTTAGGAAAGCTATTGATTATGTGGTGGCGTGAGCTTATGTAAGCATAAATTGACCTTGCAGAGTATTACATTTGTGTTTGGACTATGTTTTGTTGCAGTACACAGATTAAGCAATGTTAAGCAATACTGTCACAAGTTTGTGTAACATACTAAAAATTGTTCCTTTCAAGTAAGAGTGGGATCTCATAACCTTCAAGAATGTTTCACACCCTTGTTAGAGGAGATAATAAAGCGGGAAAATGTTAATAGATTTTGAGTGAAATAAAAAGCAGGAGGGTAAATTACAGGACTAGGAAAATGGGTTGAATTCAACTATTTCTTTCACGATCTAGGGTTCTTTTAAGTGGTTTTTGTTTGTTTGTTTTTTTTAGTAAAAACTTACAAATATATTGGTAGGGTTCAAACATTGTGATGGCTAAATTGTGGTGTAACATCTGGATTTTTAAAACCCATTTTATACCCAAGAGTTTCCCTTTCTCTTCATTTTCAGTAAGGAGGAAGGGCAGAGCCTACAGCTATCACAGCGTGAGACTGCTTGTGAAGAACTGTTGTATCACTCTGCCAGGCTCCAAGCTATGCAAGATAGCCCAGAAACACAACGCCCAGAGGCTCTTCAAAACACAGCATCTGCTCAGCCCTTCTTCACACTGACCCTCCCTTTCTCCCTCCTATTTTGAAGGCTTTTTTAGCTATTTGCTAGCTTCCAGCAAAAACATGAGTTGCAACTATTTGGAAGAACTGCAGATTATTTGTCAACTTAGGAGTACAGCCCAAATTAGAATAAATCAAGCTTAGAAGTCTGTAAAGCAAAGGGATGTGGAGGTATAAAAAACAGTTACAGCTTGCACCCAATTGGACTCTAATTTGTTGCACTAATGAAACATTTCTTTTAAGTGGAAAACCTTTGAAGAATACTAATATAATAATTAATATTCAAGTTACCTAGGGAACCTGAGACTCTACGGACTGCAGTTAGGAGAGCCTTTGCAGAGGAAGCCACCCAACACAGCTTTTTGTCTGGAGCTTTAAGAACAGCGCTTCCAGGCAGCTGTGAGATTTTCTCTATTAGTCTCCCTTTCTCATGCTAAGTCATTATCAGCCTTTTCCTCATTATTAATTGTTACGATTATTACAGAAACACCGAGAGTCTTCAGCCTCCAAAGAATTAGCAAAGATTTCAATCGACACAGAACAAGTGATTGTAAGAAACTGACGAAAGAAAGAGCTAAGGAGATGAAAGGAATCACAATGAGAAGTACTGGATATAGTACTTAGTGAACAAATGGGTGGTTGTAAGTCCATTAAACCATAATTCATTTCTGCAACTGTTCAGCACAGTTTTCTTCTTCTTCTTCTATCAGCAGTGTTAAAATCAATCATATCACAACTTCCAAATAAGAGGACTGCTATCTTCTCTGAGGTACAGACAGCCCAGCCGTGCTCTAGAACAGTTTTAGAAGTCCTTAAACATTTTTGTTGGAGTCTCTATCATTCACCTTACAAGTCCTGTTGCCTTCAAGCCTATAAAAATATATATGTATGTTAACCGGATAGGATATTTACTGAAAAGCAATGGTTAGCCCCATCAGAACTCTGAAATCACACAGAAAACCCTATTATGCATTCAGTTTAGAAAACAACAATCTCTCTGCTGTTACTGAACCAAATTTTCAGATTGTAAAGCTGAAATATTCATGACCAGGCATTATGCAACAATTGATAGGATATACCTATCTAAACAGGTGTGGCACAGAGAGAACTATTAACCATTTAGAGAAGAAAATTCATTGATAACGGAGTTGCTTGGAGCTTTGGAAAAGATAACATGGTAGGGAAAAAATGGAGAGGGACACTGCATAAGTATTAAAAAATGCAAAACATTGTCCTAAGTCAGGCATGTCCAACCCTTGGGCCACGGGCTGCATGCGGCCCATCACTCAGCAATGACCACACATTGGTGTGTGATTGCACTGGGCTGAAAGCAGGACAAGGGGAGGGAACAGCACAGTGCTAACTCGAGTTATGGCAAATCACTGCATGCATACTGATAGAACAGCTAAACATTCCTGTGAATAGTGAAAAATATGCAGCCATGCTTTTTGTTTTGATAAAAGAATTTGTGATTATGATTTTTTTGGCAATCTTGAAACCTAAATTACATGTGACTTTTCAAATTGAACGTATAGAATTGGAGTCAGATATTCAACTCAAACTTTTGATCATGTCCCTTTACTAGAATTTTATAACTCTTCTCTTAACAGAGAAAGATATCCTTCATGTCACAGTCACACCTTATTCATGTCATTGCTTTCCAGCAGTATTTGCAAACAACTATTTTCAAGGGTGAAGCACAGAAAGAGTAAAATTTTATCAAGTCACTGACAAACACCTTGAGAACTCACTGAGAATGGCAATCACTGTCATAAAAACAGCCTGATGCATCAGTTTACAAAAACAAGGTCAAACATCCCACTAGTCTTATGTTCTTGTTGCTCTCTTTTTTATGTTTTAATAAAAAAAAATTAAAAGAATAATTTTTGCTACTTACATACATTAGCTATATTACATATTTTGTATGCAGCCCAAGCCAATTTCTCTTCACTCAAAGTGGCCCAAGCAAGCCAAAAGGTTAACCACCCATGTTCTAAATAGTAGGTGTTCAACAAACATCTGTGCAAATGAATGCTTGTTTGCAAAACGAGCATGTCACTCCTGTTATATAGCATTTGCTCATTATCCAAGCCAGCAATGCTTACACAGTCATATCTATTTGTGGATCTTCAGTCGTACTCAGTCAGGAATTGAAAGACCACATAGAATAGATAACCAAACACAAAGTAAGAATGGCAATTATTTAAAGCCTGATGCTAAGGGTATTTCACACCATGGTTTTAATATCACTTGAATAAAGGACAAAGTGTTTCAAGCAACAGATGTCAGTAGATTGCTAATAATGGAAGAAAACTTTTTTTCCCCAATACCTTGTTTTAGTTGTCACCACGCTTAGATATCTGTAATTAGGCAATTTAGATATGTTCTCTATGTATCAGTAGCATGTATATAAATGCTGAAGAATTTCCCTAAATCACTTAGTAGGATGCCAATTATACCAGTAAGCTAACAGCATTGCTAGATATATATAAATACACCACCTTTTCTAGCATCTATTGTTAGGTTAGACAGGAGCTCCTTAACAGCAGGTGACAATTTTATGGGGCACTCTGAATCTTAACTGGATTTTGGGAACAATAAACCATGTGTTCCCATGGGCTTCTCTGAGGGCAACCCAAATCTAGCAGTACTGATATCAGCATTACAGATACTGAATTAACTCTAGGTCAGAGAGCCAAGAGAGGCTGGACAAAATCCACCACAGAAGAGAGGTATTAAAGAGGAAATCATGGTTTGTACTTGCCTTATGACTCTTTTTCACTTTCAGAAATGCATGGGTAAATACACACAGTTGCCAAGAACCACTGAGCACTGCCAGACAGCAATACAGTCCAGTGCATGTGAGCACATATGCTGGAGCAGCTTATTAGACAAATTTGGAAAGAGAGAAAGACAGCTCTCTGACAACAAAAGGAAAGAGTTTGCACAGCTGCATGGCAGAGCTGAGCTAGGCAAGGGAGGGTCAACCTAGAATCCTGCACTCTGCTTTTTGTATAATGCCACAGCACAAACAGTGACTTCTGCAAAGTCAGGCTCTCAGATACATCCTTTCTGCCAATAAATAAAGGCAAGTATTTCCTTCCTGAATTGCACTTCTAGTTCATATTCTGTTTTGTGTTTTTTTTGTTGTTGCCTTTTTTTTGTTGTTTTTTGGCTTGGATCAGCTGGAAGTTCTGTTTACAAGGAGAAATGATGTGTACTCGTTGGCAAACAACACTGTCTTCTAGGAACACAAGAGTTTCTGCATTGGATCACATATTCATTCACCCCACTACTACTGTGATAGTAGCCAATAGCAAAAGCTGCAAAGGAAAACACAAAAAATCTGCTTTGAGAAATTCACTACCCCTGGGAAGCTTCTTTTGAACCTTATAAATTAGAGGTTAGTTCATGCCCTGGAGCATAAAACATTAAGTCCCTTATAAATATTCACATCTCTTCTTTAAAATCTCAGCATAATACCAAAACGTTCCGCAATTGACACCATGCCTGAGAAGCATGCAAGTGTTCACTCCATTTAACAGATGGGCAAACAGGGAAAGGAGTCAAGCAGCTTCTCTGTAGTCTAGTCAGCAGGCAGATTTCTGGTGGCACTGCAGATGAATAATGTGACAGGCAGCTTTACACTCTCCTCCTGAAGGTGGCTAGCTGTATTACCCAATTCCTGCTGCACAGCCCCTTTGAGATTAATTTCCTCTTCTGCAAAATGTGTGTGTTTATCTACCCACTTAATGAGATTTTTAGAATTGAGTAATATTTATATTATACAATTATTATGCATTACCGATACTAGACAAAGTTAGAAAAAGGACGAGATGCACTGCCAAGGGATTATTGAATCATTAATTTCACTGCATTTCTAGAAACTCTGTTCCCCATAGAGCTCCGTCAATGCATCATTTCTCAGCTAGAGAGCCCTTTTAAAGCCAGTTCCAGGCTCTTGTGCTTAAGTCTGATAAACACATCTGGGAGTGCAGTAAGCATGGAGTGTATACTGATTTAGTCAGTAAACTTTATACTGAATTTCCTTTATTTTTTTTTCTTCTTTAAAAGCTCGTATTGACCAACTGCTGGGGGACTGGAAGCCTTGGAAGTCTCCAGTATGATCTGGGAGTGAGGACAATTGTAAAGCTTTAATATCCTGTTTCCAGAAAATGAGTCAGAGAGAACAACAACAAAAAAAAGGATTTATGCAAAAGTACACATCTTTTGAATGATAATCACCAGCAACACCTGAAACATCGAAGTACCAGTCCTTCTTGGTCATATTGACAGAACATTTGAATGATGTCAAAGCAGGTCAAATTTCACAGAGATTGTCTTCAGTACTCCAACACAGTATAAGTTATAATATATAAACTGGTTAGTATTCTAGTAAGTTTAGATGCAAAATAGCTTTGAAACCCTAACAGCAGAGCCTTTGAACATCAAAGGAGAAACAGAGTTTGTCCACCTTGTGCTGAACCATGAGTTGCAAAAAAACACTTTTCAGTTGGTGTTAGAGCTAAATTCAAATTAGCAAGCTCACCTTAGTGTAAATACAGTCCATTTTCTAGATGGCTTAGTGCACCCACAGTTTGCTCTTACGTACAATTCCAGTCCAATTACTGGTTGTATAAGCCACCTTGGCCACTTATGACCCGAACTCCTTGCCAGAAGGCAGAAAGACACCAAAAGAAATAGTAAGCATCTTGAACTAAAAGTCCAGCAGTTTTATATAAGGTTTTAGACAGGAAGTGTCATGTTCCATTCTCATAGGCATAGAAGATGTAGAAGTTGCCTCAGCAGAAGGGAGATTGTGGCAGCAAAAAATGAGAAAGAAGCTAAGCTGGAAGAGGGAGTGGTTGCTCTGACATTGACTCATGTATAGACAAAGCAGCAAATTGCTCTTAAGTGGTAGCTGGTCCATTCAGAAGAAAGAGAAGTTAAAAAAGAATAAACAGGAAAACAAAAACCCTAACTTTAGCAGACAAAAGTCATTTCACTTCTTGTCAACTCTGTACAAAACACCTGGCTATTCTGACACATTACAGACTGCTTCAGCAGCTCTTCATCATGCTCTGATATCTCTGTGCTCAGCTGAAGCCTGTCTCAGTTAACTGAAAGTTTCATAAACCTTAACTCTGTGTAATATACCACTGATACACAGCAAAGACAGCAAATTATGGTACATGAAAAGCTTTACTTGAGCCCCTCCCTGCCAACAAGCTACTTCTTCCAGCAGCATCACAAGCTGAGCATGTAGGTTTTGTTTTCAATGCTAGTCGGTTCCAAAGACTTGGAAGGTAGGAGAGTTTACTCATTTTTAATGATCTTGACAGAATCTTAACTCTAATCCATGTGATAATGTAATTCAAGAGAGTATTTCCCCGGAGAAAATAGAGTTGGCACAGGAAAGCTGTTCTCTTAACACAGCATGATGCATTTCCAAATGAGCGGGGAAGCTTTTCATAGATCACTGTCCCTACTGAGCAAGTACTTATGTGGCGCCCTGAACAAGGACAGATTTAGTCATGTGCTTACATGCACGAGGACCATAACATGCACAGCCAAACCAATGAGTGCTTAGGGCACTTTCGCAGTAGAAGCAATAGTCATGGGGTAAGAAACACGCTGCTTCGTTACACAGTCTTTCAAAAAGTGCAAGTTCAGATGGATAACATCACATTCATTCTCTTTAATACCTTAGGATTTGAGTCAGCAATATTTTTAATCCACTCTAGATAAGTTAGTTAACTATTCATTATAGTAGAGACAAGTGAAATTCCTTTATTTTTGTAGATCTTTTATCTTACTCCATTTGCACAACTCAATTCAAATAAAGAAGAGCCCTAGCATCAAAAGAATAGTAGAAATTTATAACTGCAAATGCAGTCTGAAAGCAGTACCAAATTATCTTTTTTAAATGGAAGATCTAAATATATTACCTGTTAGACTAATCCAGGGTAAACAGTTTTCCAAATGAGGCAATTAAAATTACCTGAATTCTGCTGATTCTTCCGGTCTCCTCATCCAGGTGCAGTTCTGCAGTTTTTTGACTATGTGAAGATAATAATCTTCCGGATACCTAGAACAGGCAACGACATCAAACATTAGAATATATATGTATGTATATTTAGAAACAGTCTCTAAAACATTCAAATGATGCATGTATTAATAATAATGCGCACGATGCATATATAATAGTTTACTTTTAGAACTCCATGACCTATTTTATTCCTGTAATTTGTAACAGTACTGTCCCTGTTTAATTAGCATGACCTATTAAACATCATTTCATAAACATGTGATGTCTAACAAAATTTTCACACACTTTCAAGTGGTGCTGTTTCAAACTTTAGCATTCAGCCACACATATCTTGAAGGTTTAGACCCCTCAAATATTATCTCTCCTGCAAAAGCCCAAAACACAAAACCTGTTTCTTGTATTTGTTGTTTTTAACTTCAAAAAATGTTTTGACATGCGGTTTTTGCAAATAAAGACTAAAGTTACAATTTTCTCTCTCACCTCATACAGTCCCCAAAGCTCAATTCAGTCATCTTACGCTGCAAACCAATATTTGCAGATATAAGTTTTCCTTCAAACTATATCTTAAAAACAATCTGTTTTACCCTACTGAGCACCAGCAGGGTACATGTAACCAAAGAGTTTTCTGCTTTATTAACGGATCAAGAGATTTACATTTGTCCACATGTGAAATACTGCAGATCATGCAAGCCAAAAGAATGGAGACACTTTCTCCCCGTTAGGTTCAGTGTTAACAGTTCCCCCATTTGTCCTTGATTCCCACTACAGCTTTTTTAAAAACAACAGCTCCAATTTAAAGGGAGGATTGGGTGGATGGAAATAAGAGACAGGGTGGATGTAGCTGCTCGAAGTTCTACTGCAGTCATGTTTCCAATAAACATCTGCCTTGTAGGATTTCAGCACAAACAGCTTAGTGCTGGCCCCAAACCAAATGATCATGACCTTACCTAAACTGAAACTCAGAAGAGTTTATTTTGAACTACCTCAACAAAAAAGGCTGGGAAGGCACGAAATCTCACTTGTTTTTAAATGAAGTGAGAACTGATAGAAAGGAAAACCAAAAGGTAACGGTGAATTGCAGCAGAAAGGCATTCAGCACTTTGAAAGCTTTCTTCTATTTCAGTATTCAGCATGTTTAGTACCACAGCTTTATGGTAAATGTTTGAGAAAACAGATCCCTTTTTACTGTTTGTTTTTTTGCTCCATAAAGCTCTTGTTACTGCTGAAGTTAACTGGTTTGTCTATCCTACAGTAAAATCACTTTCCATTTCCACATAGAAACAGAAATTTTTCACAAAAATTCTGCATTAGAATTGGTCTTTGGCTCAAAGTTGTACCTGTGACAATTTTCACTCTATGCACAAACACAGGAAGCATTTATATTCATTACCAGACATAGAAAACTCTTACAGAAACCACATCACTGTGAACAAACTAATTTTTCTGAGCCCTTGTACCACTGAAGGCAGCAGAAAGGAATGGGCCAAACTGGGAGCAGAGTACAACTGGCTTCACTGTATCTGCAGCTGCTCTGACCCAGTGCAGCGTGTCCTTTCTCCTTCTAGCTCAGCTACACATCTGTTCTTCTCCTCATGACATGGCCCTGTTTTATCAGCTTTTGAACTAC